GTCGCGACGAAGGCTCCGAAATTCGCCGATGGTGCGTCATCCTGGGAACAATCAAGTGGAATACATGTCTTGGAACCTCACGCTCTACGGTGTGTTTCGGTGCCGCTTCAAGCACCTGAAAGGCATCTTGGCGCTCCTGCAGAATCCGCTGCGTTGAGACTATGGCTACTTTGATGTTGATTAGCCCTTCAGCCTGCTTCAGTATTTCCTCGGCGTCTTTTTTCCTGAAAGATCTCTCTTCCGAGAAATCCGCATTGCCGATACCGACCACGACATCTCCGTCCGTCAGACCGCCGCACTGAGGGAATTCGAGGGGAAATATTCAGACTCTGCTCTCGTCCAAGGTACCTGCTCCTCAATACGATACGGGGGATCCGCTCAAGAGCACCGCCACTCCGTCCGTTTTTCATCCAGAACAACATTCGAATCACCGGAATACGCGAGTCTCTTGAGCGGAGTCCACCGTGAATCGAGGACAAAATCTTTGGAAACCCACGTCGGCGCAGCCATCTGCTTTCACATTGACGGCCACACAGAGAGTCTCATCAAGATGATTGGTGTGTTCTTCCAAATCGAAACCCATGCTTTCCCATCGCCACAAGAATTTTCTCCTGATGATCGATATCACGATGAACAGAGGTGTGTTTTTGACCTTTTCAACTGGAATAAGGGAGACGATGACTGTCGCCGTTAGCGCGCTATTCCCGTCCGGGTGACCCGGGTCATAGTGACGAAGTTTGTTTGCGCGCGCGCACGCACGCAATACTTTCTCTCGGGAAAGCTGTCGAAGTATTCTGAAATTCACTCACGGCTGAACCTGTAGTCGCTTGGCATCGAGCCGTCAGAGTGACTCGAATCACAGGGATCTTCCTGCGAGCCCCGGGCTCTCGAAAAAGCGGCATACTTCTCCGAAGAATATGTGAAGATGTTCGAGTGCCTGACCCTGGTATCCTGGGGAGCGATCGAGAGTTCCCCAGCTCAGACTCGGGCAGACAATAATAACACGTCGATCGGGGGAAGCTATCACGCTCGAGCTCAGTCGCGAAAGCATGCAGCGCTAATTTACCACATAAAGCTTGTCCCGTCTCGGCAAACAGAGTCCCGGTACGCTCAGCAGGTTCCCGTAGTCTTTTGTTGCAGAAGGTGAAGGGAGCGGAGATTCTGCTTCCGGGTCCTTTCCCAGGGAAAAAGCCAAATTGAGCGCTTGGAACTCTTCGCGGACATCGTGACTTTGCAGCTGCTTCCAATCGATACCCTCGAAAAACGAATGCTTCAAGAATTCTTCGTAGTTCATCCGAGCTGTGGAATGAACCTTTTGTCGATCGTCGTCTAAGAATGCAACTCATCGAATTCATTTAAGAGTCGGCATTGTATGAATCGCGGACTGATCTCCTATACGGCTTTCGAGATTTACTATCGAGTGGTTGCAGGCATTTCGTGACGAATTTCTGGAGCTGCCACGACGGATTCCTGAAACGGGGCCACTCGATCGGCGTGTTGCGCACGCGTTTCGCCAAAGCCTGCTCGGGCAGGTGGCCGAAGGGCATTTTCCCCGATGCCAGATGGAAGCAAGTGATTCCCAGCGACCACCTCGAAAGAAAATGATTCGTTCCTCAAAAATGGATTCATGACGATTCTCAAGACGACATTCAAAGATGAGCCCAATTGTGCAACGGCTCGAGAACACTGCGTACCAGTCGACTCCACGTCCGTAGGTTTTACCTGCCAACAGCTCCGGCGCCATGTAGTACCGATTACTCTCTATGACCTCATCGCCCAACTCGAATTCTACGAGTTTCTCGCCGAAAGGTTTGAAATCCGTGGAAAACTTGGCCATACAAATTTTGCTCTGCTGCAGACCGATCAACTTGATACGACATCCGGTCATCATCAGAATGTTCGGCATCTGTCGGAAGGCAGAATTGATTTCTGTCGAAGCGCCTCCTTTCCGAATCAACATGGAACCGATGAAGTTTTTTGGGGAGCCCGCGCTCGGGAGGGGATGTTCCCATCAGAAGCGATCGCATTCTCCGGGAAACTCACATGTAGGTCTCGATGGATAACGCCAGAGTTGTGGAGATAATCGAGCGCGAGCCCAACTTGTCCCATGACGACCCGCAGTATCCGGTCCTCGAAGAACTTTGCTTTCAGGAGCACCCTGGATCAGCAAGAGTTGTTTCTTCCCGAACGCGATCCGAAAATTCAAGGAAAATTCCATCATGACTCAACAGACGACTTACTTGTAGGAATTCACTGCTCGTACGTATTCGGTGCAGTAAACGTGGGCAGCTCTCGTGTTGAAACAGGCATATACATCACAGATGAAAACGGACTTCGTGATGCTCGCAGCCTCCTTCTCCGCAACGAAGCTTCGATTCGTAGCATTCTCTAGTCTAAAAGGAGAGAACCTCAGGACACATTCGGTGCGGCCGAACGTCGCTCGGCGCAGCATGGATCCTTCTCGAACACCTGCTCTTGGTGGGAAGAATCAGTTTTGATTCATTTGCGGGTCTGCTAAAAGTGGGAATGCGTCAGTCGACAATGAATCCGCTCTCCGTACAGAGAACATTTCCGAGAGTGAACTTGGAAATTTTCGGGGGCTCTCTCAGGCTTTTGTGTCGACTATGCCGTATTGCTGAATTCATTGTCATCCCTACGGCGGTCCAGTCCGTCACTTCGAGACCCTGCGCTCTCTCCAGATACGCGAGCAGAGGATTCAGCGCGATCGCCATGAGGAAAAAGTTTCTCACGAAAAACTGCGGAGTTTGAATAATGGTTCGATGTCAGGAGAGCAAAGGATGAGATCGGACTTCGTTTCACTCCAGAATTATGGTCGGGTGTTAAGCACGACGGGGGTTGCTCATTACCGCAGACGTATCCGCATCCTTATCGTGTATCTGCTCGAAGAAAGCACCGAGATTTCGCAGATAAGCGAAAATAATCTCCAGCGTCACATCTTTCTTCCGGACAACACGCACCAGGTCATATGATGCTAGTTTGAGCTGATCCATCAAGAACTGTTCTCTTGGATGGCGCCACACATCCAAACTGCTTGCACTCTTCATGAAATTGACGAGGGCTACCACTGTGGCCGGGAATAAACTGAAAAGATAAGCAGTGCAGTACGTACGATGGACTTCGGCCTAGAAACTCTGATCGATCGTATTATCCATGATCGCGAGGGTAGAACAAACAATTCTGTAGCCGTAGCATGTCAATCCTCTAAGCCACGCCTCGTCCATTAAATCGGGAGTGGATCACGAATCACGTAGCTGCATGGGAAGCGTGCGAGCGAGATGTCCGCATATACCCACGTTGGAAAAAGAATATCGAGTCTTTGATTGAGATTCAGGTGATCGAGAACCCTTGAAACTCTCGACGATCTCTGGGCATCGAAGTTCATCGGTTTGTTATCGACAGGAACGGGACCAGAAGGATGTCAACTTCATTTTCTGCGATCGAATACACACCCTCCGAATTCAGATTCTGTCGCGACAAGGTCTCGCGAAATTTTTCGAATCGGGGAGTGTCCACCCTCGAGTCTCTTTCGGATAAGCGTAGCAGTGTTGTCGACCCAGGACGTGCTCGAGCACCGGCACGTGGCATGGTAATTCACAAAGACTCTCAGGATTATGGTGTTTCTCCGCGCTGCGTCCGAATGAGCCGGAGCTCATTGTCTGCTGCTCGACTGCCGATGGTACGGAAGTTGCTCAAGACTGCATAAAAAAACTGAAAAGCTCTTGGAAATGGCTCATTCACGGTGAAGTCATGGAAAGTCGAACTCATTAACATTGGCATCTGACACGAGGTTCTGCGTTTTTTTTCTCATTTAACGACAAACGTCTGGATCTCACGGTCGTCCTGTGAAACTCCATAAAGCAATTGTGGATGTTACGTCTCGTCGCTCAATTTGGGGAATCAATTTTTTCGATTTGAGGAAAACACTCACTATGGGTTTTCAAATTTCTGAAGAGCTGGATTCGTTGGTAGGTCAGACTCTCATGAACTCTCATTGCGATCAGATGGGGTCAGGGGGAGCTGGACTTTTCGTTCATTCAGTTCTAGTTCGTCTCCCGATAATCAATACAGAAAAAATTGACACCGTACCGATTGATATCGAAACACAGCGTCGTCGAAATTACGTTTCGGATCCCTTATTTCAGTGAATTATAAGTCTCGTCGAAAGTAGGGTGTCCGAGATCATCATCTGTTACGGAGCAGATGGCCTATGATATATAATCAGCGTAATAAGTTGATCGACAATCGAACTCGCGGACTCGTCATTGGGATCGGCCATGTCTTTCTCGTGGCAAGTTCTGTTCCTGGCTTTGGCGACTAGCCATGCTTCAGGATACTCAGTGTCGCGGGAGTCTGTCTACCTTGTAGCTCGGGATTCGGCACCCAAAACTGGCCCCCAGTGCAAGTTCCCGGGTCAGTTCATGTCTCATGAAAAACTCTGTCGTCGTTTTTATCACTGTGCGCACGAACGATTCGAGATACTGTGTCCCGATGGAACTATTTGGGACGAGACTCTACCAGGATGCAACGCTGACCATGCCGTGAAATCACCCACTCCCTCGGGCTGTCCTGATCTCGTCAGGCCGGTCGAGAGCTCCACTGGGAGAGATCCCACCGATGGGATTCAGTCGGCTCTGGGAACGTCGGTGGTGGAAGACTCGGCTGCTGGATCTACAACAGTTATGACACCCGAGCCCCAGAATTCCGAGAGCGACTCAACCGATAGCAGCAGCGGCGAATGTGATCCTCCGCCGGTGCTATGAGTGGCTTTCGAGCTACGATCCGAGCGGTCTCGGAGGAAATGACCTCCCTGTGCTATCCCCACCTAGTTCTCTGAAACATTCGCCGTCGAATAAAGATTAGGAGATCTAGAACTAAGACTTCTATAGCTAGAGATTCACCGAAATCGATCGTTCTCATCCGCGCATCCGGGAGGACCCTCTCGGACGTCATGGATTTAGGTCGAGAGGGCGTTCTTCAATTCATCCGGAAACCTTTCAGCTTTATTGATTGATTTTCAGCTGATCATAAAATGGAGTTCATCAAGGAGAGACGCAATGACTCGCGTTTCGAGCGGTCTTACGACATTCAGGAAATCTCTCTCAGTACTCCGTTTCGGGCAGCGTCAGATCGTGTCTCCCAACAGGGTTTCCAGATTCTATAACGCGGGGCAGTTTGGGTAACTCTATTGACAAATGTACAAAAATGGGCCCTCGAAGCAGCGGGAGCTCGGACCTACTCCTCGATCACAACTGGTCGATGTCGTACGACAGGATGACTCCGAGAAAGACTTGAGCTCTAATCCTGGTTCAGCAAGGCTTCGCGGTCGTCCACCTCGTCCCCACGTCCACATATCCGTTTTCTGTACAGCGGGGGATTGAGAGCCCCTTTCTTCGCAGTATTGTGCATCTGGAGCACGAAGCCCAGAACGAGCGATACTGGTAGAGGAAAAACACCGAAATTAGAAAATAGGGGGAAATACTTGACCCTGAGCAAATTATGATGAGCCTCTGAATTTTTCGCTCTCATTTTTCCCTTCTTGCGGCACGCATGCAGTATGTCAAACTTACAAGATATCCACAGCATGAAATACACTTCCGACCATTGGAGACCTTCCTCCGAAGTGGGAAAAGCCTCCCGCAACATTTCGGCGGACTGAATAACAACCGCGAGTCCTAAGTTCTGCACGGATTGCATGGCACCGTATGCGGTGCCCAATTGATGCTCGGGCACCAACATAGCGACCATCGGCCAGAACGCGCAGGCAAACAACGAGAATCCGACACCGAGAACACCCTGCAGGTCGAAATACGTCCATGGTTATTGGAGGATTTCCAAGATGCCGCGGGCGGCGTGATCGGATGGTCTTTGATACCGGGCTCTGGTCCCATTTGCATCCCGAAGGACAAAGAGTGTGCTTACCATGGTGACCGACGGCGGAATTATACCGATAGGCAGGTAGCTGAAGGCTAGATGGCAGGCGGTACTGATAAGTCCGGCAACAATCGTCCAAAGCAGGTTCATACCCGTGAGATCACAAAGGAGCCCGCAGAAAGGCGATACGATGGCGCTAACAGTGTATGGAATCGACGTCACACGATCAGCCTCCGTCACGGTCATGTTGTACTGCGATATTAAGTATTTCCTGGAAGCGTAAGGATCACCGGGCTAGGACTGAGCAAGCTCTGGAATCGGGTTTAGCTTTGAAAGAAATGCTAGGAAAAGTCCGAGAGAAAAATTTATCAGGGCGCTCGATTTTACTCACCCTGCGATAGAGATGAACGGGGTGATCGCTGAATAGTAGAAAGCGCATATGATACAGAGCAGCCAGAATTGCATAGGGAAGCGCTTTATATCGCTGAATTGGATGACTTCGCCCGAGCCGGAGCTCTCACGCACAAGAATTCGTTCAGCCCGTCTGTCGTAGTACGCGACAACCATGGCACAAAACAGCGAAAACAAACAAACAAGTCCAGCTGGAAGGCGAACGATCACCTAGTCAGTATACGTGAGATGGCAGACAGAACTGTTCTCGGGATCCGTCCAAACCGAGCAAGGCATTCTCGGGAAGAGAATCGTCAATTTTGGGTGCTGTATTCGTCTAGAAAATCGTTGCCTGAGAGGGAGACTAACCGATCATGAGCGCGATACCCAGACCATAGGATCCTTTGTAGCTCTCTTGGATGTAGTCATACAGGTATGGCATCGAATTCATGTTTGCCACACTACCCTGGAAGCGAAGAACTGTCGAGGTGAGACCTTTGGGGGAACGACTGCGGATTCATCCGCGAATATATCTTCTTGCGAATCCACGTGCACTGAAGATATGCATTTTCGGTCATATGGAGGACTCACCAATCGGGCTACCGACAACTGGACTCCGAAAACTGTGTTAAGTTCCTTGCCCTTGAACCACAAAACGGAATAGGTGTTTTGAGCAACCGCCAGAGATTCTCCTCCGAGACTGCAGAGGAATCAGAGGAAGTCTTAGGGCGTTTCGCGCCATCTTGGGTTTATCCCGAAAGAATTATTTTTACAGCGTGATCTTTCTGTGGGAAGCCCAATTCGTATGATCACTGGGAGTCATAGTGTCAAGTTCTACTTGCCCGAAAACGAATCGTCCTAGCACCATCACGTAGAAATTGTCCACGAGTGCTCCCCCAGCGAAAATGACTTGACCTATACAAATTAGACCGGCGAAAATAATCGTCCCCATCCGAATACCGAAAACCGTGTCAATGAGGAAACCTCCGAAAAAAGAGAGGATCACGTTCGGGTACGAGTACCACGAATAGAAATTCGAGAAGGCGGTTCCCGAAATGTTCAAATCGGCTTCGATTTGGCTCTCCAATGTGCCAGGATTGTCGTAGCAGAAGTAAGAACCTGGAAAGAAAATACCCCGATGAATTCCTGTAACCCCATGTATGTATTTGTATTCGTCCGGAGAGACAAATTCGCCGTTGGCGTGAGACTGTCTAAGAGTTTTTGCCAAACTCCCGGAGACGTGGAGCGCTTCTGACCGATCGGGCATACGTAATTCCGTGGCGGTAGCCGCGATTTTTTTCGTTCAGCACGTTTCTCTGGATTGGAATTGGATTCGCCCAATCTAGAGGGCAAGCATCATCGAGCTGGAATCTCGGACAGCCACAGTCTCCGTGGACTTTCCATGCGGTCTCTCAAAATCTCACGAAACGGAAGCGCAACATATGCTCAAGGATTAGACAGCAGTTGGATCACGTGAAATGGCTCGAACGGTTCCAGCTGGGTTCTTAGAAATCATTCGTCAAATTAACGATTCTCGCGCGCGGTCGTAGAGCTCTCCAACGGGTGAATTATAGCTTCCGTAAATTATCGGAGACAACCCGCAGAATACTCACCGAAAGCGAGGAAGCACATGAAGAACAAAACGAAATATCTGTGAAGTCTGGTGGACGGATGACAGCATCCCACGCCATCCTGAACATCTATCGACGCTGAGAACTCGGACTCAATCAGGGCATTGTCAGTACGATCCTGGGAGGCAAATATCGGCGATGAACCTCCCACATCGACCTTCTGGTTGCCGGAGTTGACTTCATCCTGGCAGCACGCCAGCTGCTCTTGGTCCTGAAATTCATACACTGAGTCAGATGCCAGAAATCCATCATCGGAAAACTTGAACGGTTTTAGATTCCAAACTACGGGACGGAGGATATCGTCTGACTTCCATGAGTTTTTGACAGGGTTCCTCCCAATCGAAGTTCGCAGACGTCATACGTCATCAAGATTTCCGGTGGGCCATGAGCCATGAGTTCTGGGAGCTGGGTGGAAACCGACAATCAGCTGATTGTCAAGCTCGCGGAAAGCCGTCCGCTGGAAGCTCTTGGACTCCTTCAACCCCCCGGAAATCAAGGGCCCCCTCTTGTTGAGAGGGATTTTCGGAGATAACGATCAAGTTGAACACCAAATACAATTTGTGAGAGCCGTTATCTTCATCATTGAGGCGGAAGCTACGAACAGTCTCTGAGGTCGGAGCATCTCGAAAGTTTCAGAGCAGTCAAAAACGCTAGACGCTTAGATCAAGTCGCGTGATCCGTCCATAAACATGCCAGATGAGGCCTCCGAATATGACTAATGCACAGAATCGAGCTCCACTTGTTTGCCTGAACCTGAAGTGACGGACTTGGTTCGGAGCCCAGGGGGGAACTCCGGCAGCGGACTGGCACGATTGGTTCATCACCGGATCGATCTCTACTGGTACTCAAGATTGAAAATCCCCGAAGTTCCCTCGCAAAGCAGGACGAGCACCAGAATTTACGCAGCAATTCAGAAAATATTCACAACGACGTCACAAACAGCACCTCGTTCCGTTGCAGAACCCTTCCGCAGTCTTTCTCGTCCGTCATCTCGAAAGCTTGGAACCAACCTGAGCAATGGTCATCCTTCCGAGTCGATGCTAATCCATACCACAGAAGATTAGTGGCTGAGCTCGCCGTTTCCTCTCGGCTTTTTTTGATGTCCGCAAGACTACGGCGGCTCAGAAACTACTGCTGCTCTCACCGCCGCCCTTGCTGCTATCCTTTCTCCGGACCCTCTCACCTCATATGCTCCGGATTCAAATTAGCCCGCCACCAGCAGAATCGGCGGTCACACAAGTCCCCATTCCCTTCTCCGCGAACAAAAATTCGGTTATCTCGATCATAGTTCCTCCCTAAGTGTTGTGATGATTCAAAATTACCGCAAATTTCCCGACACTTCCGGTCACGGCCTGAGAGAGCTGCTTTCTGACAGAGAGTTGCCTCTGATATGGTCGAGGCTCCGATAGCGATCAGGGACTTTTGCGCTTATAAGATTGAAATACGTCTCCCTGTCTCATCATCCGAACGGGGTTTGTGGAATGTTGGGAATCATACTGCTCCCGGCCTGAAGGTTCCTTTAGCAGGATGGAGGATAAGCTTCCCGTAGTGATTGCCAGTCATGAACTGTAATGAACTATCAGACCTGCGGTGTTAATCCGAGTCCATTCTATCTTTCATCGTTAGATAATCCCAGCGGAACTTAGTATCGACTTGAAATCGACTTTCAGGCCTGTTCTTTCTCCCTAATCCAGCGTAGATAGAAGATTAGATGATGTACTTTAGACCTGCTGGTTCGAGGGGGATTGCCGGGAAATTTGAGTTGCTGAAATTGCCACCACTCTCGATGGGAATACGCGGAATCTGAGCTCAATGACGTTCCGATTGTTCATTTGCGCTCAGACTCGATGAAACTGACAGATTTCTACCGTCTGATATCGTAGAGATTCGATTTCAAGAAATCGATGGCCACAGGCGGAGAGCTCAGCTGATTCTAGGTTCACGACCGCGACGGAGGAGAGCTGATGAGAGATCTCTGAATGAGAGCATCGACTCTCATCCCGCAAGAATCGTCGGCCATCAGGCTATCACCAACATTTCGACTCCCGGGACTTCAGCGCCATGAGCACTCGGACCACGGATCCTTTCAATTCATCGGGTTCGCGCGCACAGACTGCACTCGACGCGGACCCTGTGGAATCTATTCAAGAACTGTAAGTAGAATTGAGAAGTTGCGGACCAAACCTGCAGTGACTTCTCTGATTGCTCATTACTCATCACTCATTGATAATGGGAAACAGAACATCATCGATCAATATCGAGGGTCATTCAAAATTAGAGCTCTCTCCCCCGGATGAAGATGGTGTTATCAGGAAGACGATCGAAGGCAGTGCCTACTGATTCTTCTTCAACGCGGGACCCCCTCCGAAGTCCTCGGCTGTGCTAGGGACCCCCTCCGGAAACCTCGGCTGAGCTCGGGACTCCTTGCGATGTCATTCCGAACGTACTAGTCGGTGGCTCTGCCGGATGAAGAATATGCTCCTGTTTTTCATCCAGTAAGCCCTTAGTATAGCGGGAAATTCTGACGCACTGGGGCTGGTCGATACTCTCACAAGCTACAATATCTCGAATATATTTTTCCAAGGGATTCTTCGATGTGCGGCACGACCGAGAGCGGGAGTTGGGACCCCCAAGGGGTGCCAGAACCCCCTTCCGGGAACCCCTGATCAGAGGAATGAGGAACTGGAGGGGATTCCGATTTTCGAGGAACTCCAATCAATATCCATGGGAGCTGCTTTCCGGCCCTATCCTACTTCGCTTGGAGCTGCAGCTCAACGGATCGTGTCCGGAACTCAGTGTTCGCCGTAGACTAGACCGCAGGTTGCAGGGCGAACGTCAATAGTCTGCTCTCCACCTTCCCTCTCTCTTTCGTCTGCTCGGGTACCATGTGCTCACGAAAACAAATGAGTGGCCTCAGATTCGGAGGGCGAAGAGAATCTACCCACAATTCTCAAAATTCTCAAAATGTCTTGTGAAGTTTGTTGCCTCGAAGATTCCAAGTACAAGTGCACATGTCTCTTGAGATACTGCTCTCTCAATTGCTTCAAGGAACACCGATCCACCCAGGAGTGCAGGAAGTTTGTGGCTGAACCCCAGAAGGCGTATGTGTACAGAGAACTAATTTGAGAAGTCCTCGCTTCCTTCTCTGAAACCGAGACCATGATACGCTATGCGATTATCGCTAACCTCGAGGAATTTCCAGGGCACCTCGTGAATCCGACTTGATCGCCAATCGCAGGGATTATCCGCGCGAAGACGTTGTGAGTTTGCCTCCCTAACGTTGGTCGATTTCCGATCGTCTAGTCTGTAGGAACTGTTGCTGACCGACCGATCGTTCCCTCCACCGAGCCATTGACTTGATATTGGAAACGTTACAGGTCCCTCCCAGACTTCTGGAGTATTTGAAGACATCTCAAACCCTTCGAGAATCGCTCGGGAACCCGCATCTCAGAGAGCTCATTAGATCTCTTGCTTCGGAGAGAGATCCTTCGAAGACGCTCGACCACTTGATGAAAGTAAGTTACAGGCGGAACATTCCCGTGTTGCGTTGTGAGAGTGCGAGATGCTCCCCCGCGGAAGGGCGAGTTTCATGAAGCCGCGTGCTTCAATCCTGGTTCCGGAGGATCATTCCGAAATCAGGGTCGGACATTGATAATATCGATGCACAAGATCCGGGATCTCAACTGCTTATCGTTCTGATTCCGATATTCGCCGGACCGCCCCGAGAGGAATGACCACGTGACGTCCCCTCGAGCTGAATCTTAGAAAAAAGTGAATGAGCAACTCTTCCGCATAATCAGTCATCACAGTCGACTGTAGAGTTCTGGCGATCGCGGTTCTTCGTACCTAATGAACGAGGACGCGCTCGAATAGCGATTTGCCAACTGGATATAGGCCTCATTCGCTCCACAGCATTTGATATTACGCGACGTCCAAGAGAATAATGAGGACAAGGGAGATCGCATGCTGCTCTTCGACAAGTCCTCTCAACCATCATTGCTGTGTTCGCTGCGATGACTCCGAAAGCTCTTCATTCTCGTGAAGTGTTGGCGTAAGAGTTTCACGCATAATTCGCTGCCTTTACAGGAGCCGCTATTCGTGGAGTTTGCAGATGCGTGTCTCGACGTGATCGAGCCCCAAGACAGCTGAATTTCATGTTGGAGTTCGTTGTCGCTTGACCCGAGACTCTGATATCCATGAACTGTATATAAAATGATGATCAACTCAATAGAAAAGAGAGTAAATGCACGCACAAAGCAGCCCTGTAAGTTCGCCTATTTTCTGTATACCCTGCCGGCTCATGACTCGTAATTAGCCTTTGTACGAGCTGAATCCCCAAATGCTAGGGCCCCGGTCCCTTCGACATGACGGAATGACGCATGACGGCCCAAAAATCGCTTCCGCCTCTCTGCGACAGTTCTGAGGCTAAGTCGATTGACTCACGACTGTTGGACATACCGCACCGAATTAGAAGTGACGGACGCATCAACAATGCAGAATAGAGAGAAGATGGTGAGTTTCGCAAGGGCCCCAAGGGAAGATCAGCACTAGATCATGAGAAGGAACGAGCGAGCGTCGGATGCACAGGTGTTTTCTCGCGATGCTATCGGGGCTCCACTGTCTCCCTATGGGCGATAGATTGGTCTATCCTCTTGATTATGATCCCGGAGCTCTTACGGCTTAACCTCATCTTTCCGCGACCCCATGTGGGAGCACTCCTTCAGAGTCCGCGTGACTCCAGCGGAGAGTCAAGGTGTCACGACGCGAGCCGTTCTAAGCTTTTCTCGCGGGGAGGCTGGACCTAAGCGAAACTCTCCTCCCAAATAGATCCTCGTCTCTCTGGCATCGAATCATCCCTTCAACACTACCTTGCACGGCGCGATATAAGTAGCGGAAGATCCCAAAGTACATCGAGTGAGATTCAGAGCAATAGCGAAGCGGAACGAATACCAAAAACGATGCCGTTGCTGGATTCCTGGAGCTCCTTATCGTTACCTGTGCCTCCGAGCCCCATGGTTTTTCTCGCTCATCTGTCTGTCTGTCGTCCTTACGTCTTCCTCGGCGTTAGAGAGCGCTCGTAAGGCTGGATTGATGCACGCATGCAGGTACGCAGAGGTGAGCGTGCACGACCCAATCCAACCGGAAGTAGCCCTCTTCTACAAATAGATGAGCTCATTCAAAGCTTTTATCGAGCTCAGCCTTTGTTTACTAAGTGAGCGGGAATAGACTCCCTACCGTGCGGAGCGGTTTCCTCGAAGAAAACCGGTCCACCTGGTCTCCGTCAATCGTAGAGGTGCTGATGACGGCCTGGGCAGCAGAGCACGCCCTCCTCGCCGCCGCCGCCACTCCGCTCCACGGTCCCTCACCGACCGACTTGAGAACAATGCCCCACTCGCCGGACCCCTTTAACGAGCTTCTCCGATTGCGCATACACAGGTGTCCGTTTTCTCAGGCCGTCTCGCTTTTCCAGGAGGCCTCGCTCATACAGGGAACGTTTCAATTGCGTTTTTGTCACGGACTCCTCCCAACCGCATCCATTCGATTCCTACGTCCTTCCTACTGCGAGCTTCGTATTCTCCCCGCCGGGACGGAACCGCATCTCCGAATGCTCATAAAATACTCAAACAGATGTGAGCGAGGTCTGGACGGCCGAGCCGTGTGCTCTTCCGTCCCTTCGACGGTCAGGTCGTTCGAGAGAGGTCGACCGCAAATAGTTTGAGACTCCCATCAATTAAGCTGACCTGATGACTCTGCACTCAGGGGATTGTAGCTCGCCAGCAGTTCGCAAACATCACGTCGAGCGCTTAGAAAGGCTTCACTTTGGAAAGTTGTCCGAAAACCGGGTCCCTCCGGCTCGCCACGCTATTATTGAAGCGAAGCAATTCCTCGTCCTATAAAACGGCTCGTAAAGCACTGTGCCAATTAAGTGCTATCTGTGAGCATACTCTGATGTTTCGGAGCTTGTTGTTAAAGTCAATGAGGATCGAAGCGTGGCGCGAGGTCCACTTCTTGCTTTTCCTCTTCAAAGTAGAGGAAATTTCCTTTCAATTGACAGTACGTTTTCCTGATGACGTTCGGAACTCACGGCAATCACAGCTTTATTTACAACTGAGCATTATCCAACATACATACATGCGTACATATTTAGTAAAGTTCCCGTATTGAATCTCCACCGTCAAGGCCGTGATCGAATGAGACTTCAGCAATCGCTTCCTAGACGATTCCCCCAGAGACACTTCCCACAAGACTTCACTCATCGTGCCAAAACTTTATTCTCATCGAGTCTAGGTTCTAGATCTGTCGATGGCGTCGCTACTGTCGAGAAAGGGTTGGCAGGACATACTTCCGCCACGTCTTCGACCTTCGAGGCGAATTCCGACCATAGGGCAGCTCCGATATCGTCCGCATTGTCCGTAAACCATTGAATCATCGAAGAAATCCACTCTATCCGGTAGAGCTCCAAGCATTCGATCAGAAGTTTCGCGGTGATCTTCTTCGAGTATCTGGGAGGAGCTTGCATCCGTGCCAGGGCAACCGAAGAAGCTAGAGACCATCTATCAGGGTGTTCAATCTCGAGGAGGACATCGAGCGCCTCTTGCTCAAACGTGGAGCTGTCCAAGCAACCCGAACAGAAAGAGGAGATGAAATTTAAACCTAAGGAGGGTTTGATGATCAGAGACCCACATTTCTTCAGAGACATGCGGATTGACCGCAGGACGATGCCGCTCCTGTCTCCTCGAATTCCTAAGTGAGCTTCGATTTTTGCCCATTCCACGTGCACCTCGAGACCTGGGACCCTATCGTCTAGTTCCAGATACAGCTCGAGTGCGATCAGCCAATCGACCCGGGTAACTTGTCTGAGGAAGTTGCGCAGCAAGAAATGAGGAATCGCCGGTTCATTTCGAATATCGAAACCTGCCTGGAGCCTACGCAAGAGCCAACGAGGAATTTCAGGCGATTCTTCAATAGAGTACAAATCTATGAGGGCTGTGAAAACCGGCGGGAGTTTATGATGAAATTCCTCCGTTTCATCAATCACTAAATCAAGTATCCTCATCGCAGCCAGGATCTTCCAGGATTCCCCCTGTCGATTCCTAGATATGATGTCGAATAGAATTTCAACGATTCTTCGCGGAAGCGATGCCCCCCTCTTCAACTGTCTCAGAAGATCTCCGTGCGCATCGGGTGAGAGCAATGCGTTAACGACACGCATGGAGACGTTCACGGAACTTTTTTCCGCGGCATCGAGCAGCGCGCTTATTTTGCGGGATGTAGAAAGTTTTTCAATAACGCTATTCGCCAACTTCTCCATGTCGTGGTTCTCAAAAATGAGTTGCCGCGTGGTCCGACTATTTGCCAAACACGACAAACAGCTGCGAAAAATGTCGGGCGGCAAGGAGAGTATCAGCTTTCGGAGCAGAGCCCGGATCGGGTTTCCGGCTTCGGGTGGCAAGAGCTCGACGAGCAGTCGTATCGCCCTTACGAGGCTCGAGCGCCGCCATCGAGAAACGCCTCGCACGATGCCATTGATGAGTTCGCACAAGCGTTCGTCTGAGGGGGGGGCTCGATGCGGGAGAAAATGTGCCTCAGTGTTGTACAGGATCAAACACGAGACGATATCGTCTTGCGTTGCGAGGTCAACGCTTTGGGCCGCCGTTCGCAAATATCTTGCGTTCTCCAAACTTGCATCTGTGACGGTGGCGGCGGCTGCGGCTATGGGACTCAAAGTTGAGATAAACGTTGCAATGAAGGCACGCGCTTCGGGCGAGTCCATTTCACGCTCGACCAGAGCCCAGGAGAGTTTCAGACTGGCTTCCCAATGCATCGGGGACCGATCGCTGGCGCCAACAAGTTCCAGAGAATTCCTCAACAGAACCAATACTCTTCTGCGAGCGAGCTCCGAGCACGCCGCGTTGCAGTGTCCGTTGCGTACGAAGTAGCGCTCGAGGAGCCCGAGAACGAAGTTGTCGATCCAGTCGGGCACGAACCCCACTGGCAGCAGAGATTCGTTTTTAACGCGCAAGCTCCATTTAGAGAATGCCGTTGCACAATCGACGAAGTGATCGAAAGTGATTTTCCCTCTTTCGAGTGCTCGAATGCTTTTTCCGAACACGTTGAGGCACCTGTCAAAAGAGGCGTCTGAAGGCAGTTTGTCCGTAACGAGCAAACATCCGAAGCACTTCACGGCAGCTGTGCCTATTTCAAGGACGACGCCGCCGCCGTCGTCCTCTTCTCCTTCTCCTCCTTTTTCCTGACACAAGCCGTCCAATTGGTCCAGCAGCAAGTCTGCCTGGGCTTTTGGCATGCTCCGAAATTGTCTGCAGTCGATCAAAGACGTTAACAGCTGAAGTAGGCTTAGTACGATGTCTGCGTCGAACATCGTTCTCTGAAGGAAGACTACGAGCACCGTAAAGATTCCCGGAGCGCTTTCCGAGGTGAGTAGTCGACCGGCGTTCACCTTGGAAAGGTCGCTTAAGCAGTTTAGGAATATTTTCACGCATTCAACGTTCACGCTTGTGAGCGCCAATTCCGCCAACCGGAAGAGGACGCCGCTCTGCATGAGGATGTCCATGACGTACTCGTCCTCGACGCTCATGTACAGGATGCCGCAAACAATTTCTGCTCGTCTCCTGCTCATGAATGGACTCAGAGCCTTCAGTATGTTCATTTCTTCCGGATGGAAGAGCAAGATTGGTGACGCTCCGGTAACAAACAGTAGTCCTCGAAGCAAATCTGGCGTTTTATCCCCGAGATCTTCCTCCAGCAGGATGAAGAGTTTTCTAACGTAGGAATCGAGGACGCTCAGATCGAAGACAGCAAGGTCGTGAAGCAGTCGCATGGTCGCGGCTGTGAGTTCTGAATCCACGGCGTCGAAAATTTCTCTCGCGTGCGGAGCGATTTCGCAAATCGGGATATCGATATTCGCTAACACCTCAACAATTACTACTCGACATTCTCGTGGCATCCGAGGGAGGTGTCCTTGCAGTTCTTTTATCAACTCTAGCGGAATTTCTCGGAAATCAAGCAACAACAGAAACAACGTAACGGATCTGTAGCCGCTTGCCGAGAGAGAGGTAATAGAGGAGCACAGTGGAAGGAGTCTCTTGATTAAGCGGAATCCCCGGGCGGGTTTCTCCATTTTGGATGAGCGGAGTCTCCGAGACAGAGCGGAGTCGATCTGTCTCAGACAGGTGTTGAGGTTCCTAAGGTCGTTGCCTAGTAATTCGGTGTCTTCCGGATCCCGGAGCCTCGTGTCGAGGCAT